CATATACATATACATATACATATACACATATATATATTTGTAGATAAGAAAATACGCTTACATGTCATTGTTACTTTTTTTTTAACTCGTTTCGTATGGCTGATTGTTACATATTCTGTATATAATTTTGTCTATATTACCTGTACCAGTAGTCCAAATCATTCATATTAACTCTACCCTCTTGAAATACCAACCCCTTTATCAGGCGTACATGGAAGATGGCGTGTCTGCCGAAGTCCCCCCAGGATGTTTTTCCGCTCTTGCAGTTTTCTGAGCAGTTCTATGGTACCGTAGCGGTGTTGGAGCCAAGAAGTAAGGCGTTGTTTACCAATTTTCTTGTGAGGAGTGGCAAGTTGACGATGATGTTACATCTGATTGTATCAGAGGTAGAGGCAATGGTAATGGATAACAAACTTGAGCACAGCAAAAGGTGTCGGGAGCGCATCAAGCGCGTACTATACAAGCACAAGCAAGCTAGCATCGACACTGACATATTAATTAAGGGGGGCAAGGTATGATACTGGAGGCTGCGTTTGTTACACACACACACACACACACGCAAGCGGACAGTTGTAGTACTTGTACATTTAGTGCATTGTAATGTACACCGACGGATTAGTTGAGGGGTGCAGAGTTTGGTACTGGATGTTGCGTTCAGGGTTTAGGGTTTTGGGTTTAGGAGATCTCCATTGGCTGTATTATGATTCCGGTTATGAGTGTGTGAAAACACGCGCACGTGCCCATTCGAAGCGAAGGTTGCGGCACAGAGGTCTGTGTATTGTATGTACACGAGCTGCGTGTACATGTGTCGTGTGTTGTATGCTGTGTGTAGTGTTGTCATAATAGTTTGTTTCCTTTAGATTACTTTGTATAGCGTTTACGTATATAACAATGCTTTGTTCATCTGGCCCTTCTACAGGCCCTAATGCCTTGTTAAGTAGGCCCTTCTACAGGCCCTAATGCCTTGTTAAGTAGGCCTTTCTACAGGCCCTAATGCCTAGTTCATTAGGCCCTTCTCAGACAATAGCGCTTACTTTGTATAGCGAGTACTTATACACCAATCCCTTGTTCATTGTATCTATGTCCTCAGGCCCTGCTGCAGGCATTGATTGCGCGGTTGGGGAGCACGTTCAAGTGGACCTGTCTGCTCTGTGCCAAGAGTACACCCTGCACCTGCCAGTCTAGCGTAGGAGTACACGCGGACAAAGACAATGTGCGCGTGGGGATCAAGCAGTACACATCAGCGTACTCTGCGGATAACATACGCCTGCCGTTGGAGAAGGACGATGCTGCGTCGTGGATGTTGGTGTATGCGACTATAGTGTACATATTAGAGAATAACGGCAAGTACTCATTCAATGCCGAGCAGAAGACCCGGGTGTACGATATCTGCACCGAGATTGACCTGGGATTGGCCCGATATAAACTGGGCATCCGGCCCACACCCCACAAAACAGGTTACAACGTGTTCCCAATCAACCCGTTCCCAATCAATCGCATGGGCGCGTGGTTGTCCAGAAGCGCCTCCATCAGCCCCACAAAGGGCTTAGGGGAAGATAGTGTCCCCGAGTTTTCGGATTCGGACTTTCTAGGTCCAGACTCTGAGCGTGAACGCACACCCAGCAATCCAGAGCTACAGGGCATGCAGCGCAACAGAAAGGGACCAATGCCACTATACCGCTCAATGGACGGCTGATAGGTAGATAGATGGATGGATAGATAGATAGATAGGCTAGGCGAACCTACTACTAGCTTACTACTAGGCTTACTACTAGACTTACTACTAGACTCACTACTAAGTTTACTACTAGACTTACTACTAGACTTACTTAATAGACTCACTACTAAGTTTACTACTAGACCTACTACTAAACTCACTACTAGACTTACTAGTAGGGGAGGGGGCGGATTACGCAGAAGGGAAATAACGCTGTAGTTACAAACGCGCTCATTTGAAACACGGCAGCAAGTCGTGTAAAGATGGGGCAAGCAAGAGCTGTGTAGTGAGCAATCGAGCAATACACTAAAACATGCAGCCATACACAGAGGTCACACCCCGAAACCCAAGGTACAAGAACCCGAGCTATGCGAAATGGGTATAGCCTTCTAAATTAGACTGGTTATGAAATGGGTGCTTGTCTACGATAATTTAGTTGGGGAAGGCCTTGGGCGCTGATAACCTTCTAAGTTAGAAATTATCGGCAACGCAATGTCAATTCTGCAAAGAAAAATAAAGAACGACATACTGTACGTGACTTTACAGTTACAGGTCTTTTTAAACCCCAAAGAACAAGGCCCTATGCATAGCCTTGTTTCATTCAGAAGGCTATGCCTTATGCTATGCAGAATGGTCACGTGACTACAGGTCTTTTTAGGGTTTAGGGTTCTGCTGCGACGCTGTTGTGCGTGGTACAACGTGGTACACACCCACAAAACCCTTTCCCGGCCAGATTTTTAAGTAAACAATGCGATCTAAATCATAGCTTTCTAAAAAAAACATCTAAAACAGACGATATTTCAGTTGGGATTTTTTCTGTGAGGCAATACCATAGCATTTTAAAATAAACATCTGAAACGGACTATATCTCAATTAGGACTTTCCTTTTTACTATGTATTTTCAACCAGGAGCAAAATATCGGACTATTCTAACCGGTGATTTATATTAAACCCTAAAACATCATTCGCCTCACCTGTGGCTATGTACGAGGACTCGCTTATTAACCGTGCTGGTTGCTGCTATTTATCCGTTAAACGCCAAAGGCATATGCCTGCTGCCAGTCGCTCGAAACGTGACTCGCATACGACCATAGTGATACAATAGCACATATGAAATGACATTACACTTCAGTTTTATTACAGCATCAGTGTGTTCTTCCCAGGCGTCCGATAGGGATATAATATAACAAATGAAGTGATATTACACTTCTGTTTTTTACCGCGCTAGTGCGTAGTTCCTAGACGTCTGATAGGGATATAGTATAACGAATGAAATGACACTACACTTCTGTTTTATAACAGCGCTAGTGTATAGTTTCTAGACATCTGATAGGGATATAATATAACAAATGAAGTGACATTACACTTCTGTTTTATTACAGCATCAGTGTGTAGTTCCGAGACGTCTGATAGGGATATATATAACAAATGAAGTGACATTACACTTCTGTTTTATTACAGCGCTAGTGTGTAGTTCCGAGACGTCTGATAGAGATATAATATAACAAATGAAGTCTCATTACACTTCAGTTCCGAGACGTCTAATAGGGATATATTATAACAAATGAAGTGACATTACACCTATGTTTTATTACAGCGCTAGTGTGTAGTTCCTAGACGTCTGATAGGGATAAAATAGCACAACTGAAGTAATACCACACTTCTGTTTTATTGCAGCGCTAGTGTGTAGTTCCTTAGAGGTCTGAGTGGTTGAACTACCACCACGGGCTTTCCCCGTCATCCATGTTTGTATTGAACTCTCCGAAGTTCGGCATTGAGGACATTTCTATAGGACTCTGCAGGGTCGCTCATAGCCTCCTAAAATGACATCAGAAGGTTATGGGTCGCTGAGCTGCTAAAACCCTAACCCCTACAGCCAAGTCTGAATGTTCTGGCAGGTGCAGGTACGCCCAGGAAGCTTTCGCATAGTGCGATCTCCAACTCACCCATCGGTGAAGCACACTACCCTAGACCCTCTATGACCGATTAGGTTAAACCCTAAACCCTAAATCTGCATCAAGCTGACCTACAGCACTACCATTCCACCCACGCAGAGTTCACTTTACATCTCGCTATGCCGAGAGCTAAGCGGCTTCCAATGGCCCCAACTGACCCCACGCACTCACAGGGCAATGCGTCGCTGTGTGTCTGATGAGTTGTCTGTGTGGGCTGAGCGCAGTCTCGCAACGGCTGAACGGCTCACAGTGTCAGTGTCAGTGTCAGTGTCAGTGTCAGTGCCCCAGTGTCAGAGGCTCGCGCGATGTTCTGTGGAGCTGTTTGCCCGTCGCATTGGGCCATGACCGCCACAGCCCCCGAGTGCGGCCAACAAGAAAATAACATAACATGTATGGCAAATCACATGACATAGTTAGTAAATCACATGGCAGGGATGGCAAATCACGTGGCATGGATGGTGCATGGTACACGAGTCATATGAAGACAGAGAAACACACATAAACCCCGTTTATAGGACATATGAGGCATCGCACACGTAGGTGATCATTAGGTGACCGTTCCCTTACCACTTCAGCCGCAGCGCACACAGAGCCCCTCAGCTGCGCCGTGGTCAGTTGCCGTCTGTAGCTGTCAACCCACCCGCCGTATTTCACGCGCGTGTGCTGTTGTTCACAGGGTTTAGGGTTTAGCGAAGAGCTAAACCCTAAACCCTAAACTAAACTCTTCGGTGTTCCGGCTGACCTGTGTCGTCGTCTCGTTTGCGGCTGCCTTGCTCTGGGTCCTAAAAGTACAGAAATGTCCCATTGGACCTGTCTGATTTGATTTGCTGCGTAACGCTATGCCTATCGCATTGGCTGCACTCTCAGCGTTGGCCGTAGCACTCAATCGCACGACCAACCACCGCAGCCTGTGGAGACTAAGCAGCGACCACTCAGACACACTCCCATCAATGCCATCAGACCACACCACACCACCACCTCACCACTTACTAAAACTATCCCCAAACGCCTGCGTGGTTTTGACCTTCTTCTTCTTCGGTGCCTGGTCATCGGCTGTGTCACACTCCCATCGTAGCCATCACACCTCACCACACCACCACCTTACCACTTACTAAAGCTATCCCCAAACGCCTGCGTGGTTTTGACCTTCTTCTTCTTCGGTGCCTGGTCATCGGCTGTGTCGTCTGCGAGGGCTGTGGTGGGTGTGTGGGTCATGTATTTGCCCACCCCACCCTTGCCCGTGGCATTGGTGGCATTGCGATGTGCTCTGTTTTGATTGGCTGCTATTTCTTTGGCGCGACGGTCCTAAAGACAGCGAGTGGGCGATAGAGGGGAGATCAGGGGGACACAGCTGCACTGGTGGCAAGATACATAGTGATAAACGTACACACGCTATATATATATATATATATATATATATATATATATATATATATATATATATATATATATATATATATATATATATATATATATATAATAATATATATATATATATAT